GCCAAAAAATAAGAAATCAGGAAGGGGACAGCACTTTTTCACACCACTGTATAACAGAGGTCGCACACCTCTGGAGCAACTAGGGGTTAAGTGTCTCGCTCAGGGACACACTGTGTTGCAGTGGGAACACACCAAAGGCATGTGTCTTATCCACTGCGCAATCAACAGCCACTCCTTGCTCACAGGACACTTCTGCATGTGGATTGGAGCTGAGATTTATATATCCAATATTGCTGACAATGGACGACCAACTACAGAGCACTCCACTACAGAGTGCCCTGTTCTCAGTCATACAGTAACACATATTCACACCTGGAAGCTGCCCAGTACAACACCAGTCTGATCTGCTGGCTACTGAGCAGTTCCACTGGAGCAAAAATTATGATGATGGTCTCATCATGGATATCTTTTCTGTTTTTTCTTACTCTTTTGCCCTGCACCATGACGGGGAAAATGAATGAAAACACTTTTTTGTAAACTGACCAACATGAGATAAAGCTCCCCCAACACACTCTCTCTCACCTTGTGATGTAATCACATTTACATTATCTGTTACTTCTTTAAATTCAGGCATTCACTGCTTGAAAAAGGTAATTTATGGATTCCCATTAGCTCACTGCAGTCTTACTGAAGTGCAATGTTTATTTCTTGACCTGACTGGCTTGACTCACTAAAAATAATGTCAACTATTCAATCAGGCCAATGCCCAGCATTTGAGGGAGCAATGGACCGTTAACACTCCCTGTGTGTGTGTGCCTAGAAGATCGCTGCAGAAGCAGGTAAGACAACACACATGCACTTAGCCTAGATAAAGTGCTTCCAGCAGCTCTGTTTCTCTGCAGTGTCCCATTTTAACACAGTGTACGTCTACTGCTGTTCTACAGCAACAAATACAGGGAATACAATGTAACTATGACTACACAGTACTGCAGCAGTTAGTTACAACATCACTCGCAGTGCCAGTTGATAATTCCCAGGGTCATTTTACAAATAAAATCTGTTAATGTAAAAGAGACACAAGAAAGCAAGAACCAAGACAACTTACAGTACAACTCTTATTCACATAAACTATTAAGATTATTGCTCTTAGTTCCATCTGTTTTAGAGACTCCGAAACAAGACAATTGTGACTGATTTTCAGTTCAGTTAACTTTCGTTCTTCACTGTCTTCACAGTCTTTTAGGAAGGACAAGGAGACCCACTTTAAAGAGCAGTCACAAGACCCGAGAGACACACACACACACGAGACAGGGCAGACAGAGGAGAGAGACTGACACTAAAGAACCCAGCAGAAGTTTAAATACAGCCCATTTAATTAGCAATAGTTCTTCAGGGTTAATTAACAGTTGGACTCATTTATTAATAAAAAGATGACAGTTAATTAAATACTCATCAGCCTTCCATCACTTCACTGTTGAGTAAGCAGACACAGGGTCTGTATAATTCTGCATTTACACCATCAAACAATTATGGTTTTAAGCCACAACAAAAGTGAGGCATTCACATGTTACTGGAAAAGTCTACACTGGAACCAACAAATGGTTAGGACTGATGTTTAGCAATGTATTTAGCTATGTTTGCTAGACATAATGAAATGGGTCTTGGTCCGACATGTTTGCTCAGTGTAACACAGCTTTACATGTTGTGCTACTGAAGAGCAGCTAAATGTATGCTGCACATCAAAATACTGATTTGATTGACATAAGCTAATGCTGGAATAATAAAAATGATCTTCAAATGTTTGAGTAGGTTTTTTCAGCAGGTTAATGCGAGCTGTGATAGTATATAAGGGCAGCCTGATTAGTCTGTGCTGATGCTTGATCACGTTTGCTCTAAATTAATTGTGTCACCTACCTGAGGAGTCCGCCATGGAAAACAAAGTCCCCAATTTGCAAGGAAGTTTGCAGAAGAAGTGTCAGTTATATAGCATTTCACAAATAGGACAGATTTATGTTACATTTAGCTGACGCTTTTATCCAAAGCGACTTACAATTGCAAAGTAGGCTACTGTATGTCAGAGGTTGCACGCCTCTGTAACAACTAGGGGTTAAGTGTCTTGCTCACGGACCCAGTTGAACTTGGGTCACTCACACCAAAAGGCATGTGTCTTAGTCACTACCCCATCACCACCCCTGTTTAAGATTGCAGCAGCGTAAATTGTTGAAGGGACTGGATGCAGCTGCCTGCTAAGTCAGTCCAACAAATGGCTATGAAGATGAAGTGTAGCAGTTTATGACCCTCACGGTTTGATTTCGCTTGATATCACCTGGAGGTGATACTGTATTTCTGCATCTGAAGCCCTTCAATTGTCTCTGCTTCAGCTTTTACATGCTCAAAACAGATTATCTATTTCTGACCTATTCTCTCAACTCGTCACTTCACATGATTTAGGTTATATTACTATTTCATAACAAAGCTACAACTTTAATGTGACAACAGATCGATTTACGTTAGGGAAAGTTGCTGTAGTTAAGATAGCCCAAAGTTAAGTTAAGGTTTTGGCCATGGTTAAGTTTAGGCTAAAAATGTCAAAAAAGTCCACATTTGTAATGTAATTTGATTTGATTTATAAGAAGTATGAAAAAGCCATGACACTAACAACCTTTTTTTATTTTATTCTAAACCAAAATGTGTGGGTCTTTTTGGGTGACAGCTGTAAATGTCCAGAAGAGTAAGATAACTAAATGACTGTGAATGCCTCCGGGGATCCTAAGATAAATAAATTACAAAAAAGTAAAGGCTATATTTATTGCAGTTCACTGTTGTGAGCATTTGCACAGGTCAATTTACAAACTGTTGACCTTTTTTGTGGACATTTAAGTGCTTAGTTTTCAGGACAATAAAATCCTACTGCTTCATTTGGACTTTGATCAACATCACTGTAAATGTGTCAGTCTTAGCCATGTGCTAATCTTCCTACTGTTGTCCTTTGGCCAGATAAATAAGCTTTAAATAACGAGGCAGACAACATGTAAAATCATAACAGCGTTCATACTTCTGTTAACAGAAGTAATAATGGTTTTGTTATTCCTTTGTTGTATCACAGACCTGTTAAATCAAACATTACTGATAAATTGCACAACATGCCACTGAAACCACCAACACTGCAGTCAAACATCAGGTTATCCTCAATTTTCCTTTATATCTAAATATATAAGACATGCGTACGTTAATTTCCATGTGTAGCGGATGCGGTTGTTTGATTTGCATCTCTCTACAGAAACACAAAAAAGCCATTGCATCGAAACAGAAAACACGCCATGGCTGCAGCACGCAAATCAGCTGATTTCAGACTGCGTGTGTGACAAGTGAAGAAGAATCTCCCACGCACACAAACCCCCTCCCTTATGTTTATAATCCTCAGCAGACAAAAACTGTAAACTGGGCTGCAGAAAGAAAAGTTAAATTCAGAAAGCAAAGTTGTGTGTATGTGTGTGAGGAGGAAGTTTAAGGTTGGTGTGTTCAAAGTTTGGTATTTACAAAGTCCAGATAAGATAGGAGGGAATGACATGTGTGTGTGCATGTGTGTGTGTGTCTCTCTCTCTCTCTGAGTGTCTGGTGAATGGCTATCTTTGCTTCCATCAGCAACATAACCAACACATATGGATGCACAGCGCCCTCTGTAGGACAAAACAGGAACACACCAATGTGTGTGTGTGTGTGTGTGTGTGTGTGTGTGTGTGCTTGCTTGTGTGCGTGCGCACGCTGTGTAACCTCAACCTGACAGCAACTGTCCTATGAATGCCATGGCAACCACCAAGACATGGACTTGTTTAGACCAGCTGGCATTTTATGCCAAAAATGTTCTGGTTTAAATCAAACCCAGACTTGGTCAGTAGTCAACAAAAAAGAAATACCAGAATCATACTGTACACAGGCACATAGCAATAAACCTAACAGGGGTGTCTCTTGAGCTTTTAAAGATAATATAAACAACAAAGCCACAACATTTCATTTTCGAGTAACATTTCTAAAACTTTGCCTGATTTTCTCAATTTCTATGGAGGAAACATGCTCTCCACACGCTCAGACTAGCTCAGGTAGTGTGTTTCTTAAGTGTGTTATAGCAGACAGACATCTTCCATTAAATCCATCTATTAGATAAATTTAATATCTCATCAATAAACAATGAATAAATAACATGATGATCATTTAACATTTATTTTTAAGAGCATGCCTGAAGGGGGGCTTCTTTGAAAGATCAGGACTGGTTTTATATTGTAATGTTCCCATTTCACCAATAGAGGTCAATACAGTTCAGATTACTTGAAGTGACCTGACTAAAGGAAATCTATGTTCTCTGCTTCTGTGTAACGTAAGAGAAAATCATGATGAAAATGACACACACTGAAGTCTTTTGTGTCAGATGAACTCTAGGAAACACATCACAGCTAGACTTGGTCCTGACAGGCTTACCTAACTATATAATCAATCCAATCAGGACATTTTGTAGCATTTGAGCTGTAGAGCCTACACACTTTGAATAAGAGAAGCTGTACAGTATGTGTAGATTCTGATTTATGCTAGTGTTTTGGATTTATCCAGAAAATTCACACAAGCTTCAGGTTTCATATACTTAACTGTGCCTTATGTGTGAAATTGGAGTTTGTTTTGAAACAACGTGTGCATATCATTCTTCTTAACAAACAACAGAATTTACTTTGCTGTGGGAGCAAAGTGGAGCCAATGAAGTAGCATCAACAATAATATGTCGTGGCTGGAACTCTCTTAAGTGACGACATGGTTGTCACACTCATTAATTTAACTACATTTATAATGCACCATGAAGAACATGGAAACACAAAAGAGGAAAAATAGATAAACAGAAACATTATATATATTTTAATATAATGCTTTTTTAAATTTAATTTAGATTTTCTATATTTCACTTTTCTGTTTTACAAACATAAAAAAGTAATTATTGCACATGTCATAAACTCAGACAGAGCGGTAGTTCAGGGGTTCAGAGTTAATTCGGATATCTGGTTCGTTCTTCCTACCTTTCCCCGAGCTGAAGAAGCAGTCCATCTCCACGCTGGAGCGCGAATGGGACACACACAGTGTGGCGCTGGGAACCAATCCCTCCTGTGGTGGGCTGCGGTCAGTGGTTCGAACCAGACACCAACCTGGCCGCTCGCTCGGCCGCTCCAACAGCTCCACCGTCTGGCCTGGAGAGAAGAGCAGGCAGCTGTTTTACACAGTGGTAACTTCAGACAATGTCATGTTATAGTTTAAATATTTAAAATACACTGATATCCTTTCAGCCCAACCAAACTAAAACACATGAATCAAAGCTAAACTGAATTACTTCACATACATTAAGCAGGTTTGAGTTTGAACCAAACTACCTACAATCTTTAGATTCAACTACTGAAGCCAAACTATGAATGAACACAGTCAACAGTCAGATCCAGAATAAAATATGTAAACAGGACAAAGAGCTTTCTCTCACCGGTGCTGACAGACATCTCTGTGCTGCATCCTGCTGTGAAGTCCTGAAGGACGACTGTCAACTCACAACCACCAGAGAGCTGCCAACAGAAAGAGAGATGAGACATTTGATTAGAGTTTTCGAATCTCAAAACATTACTAGTATACCAATAAAAACAATTGGTTAACAATTTCTAACATTTAGACACACATCAAACAGGACGATTTCTTAATGTGCTGAAAATCCACATGATGGTAGATTAAGAGAAACTTAATCCAGCCCCGACTCAGGATTGTTTACCCAATAAACTTGGATTAAGTGCATAGCTACACTTGTACTTGATGTTCCTGTTTATGGTTTGTAGAGCCTAAAGGATGACAAAAACACACTGGGAAAACTTTATTTTTAAGATATAAAAATGAGAAACCCTAGCAGCTGCAGTTTGATGTAGATTTAAATTCTCTGCATGTTGGAGGAACAGGACAAACCAGCATCATTTGGACATGTATTCATGTTTTTGTAACGAACACCAAACTTTACCGAGAAAGAGCTGAACTGAACATGAATAAAAGCTGTGAGAGAGAGTGTCCTCAATCCTCAAACATTTCCACGCTGAACCATTTCCTGACCTCGAGGGGCAACTGATGCAAATCCACACAAGTGAAAATACATCCTTTTTTAGGACTAAGCTAAAATATGAAACAGTATCACGACTGTCAAGGCAGTGATTACGCTGATCAGTATTATATAGTCCATATTACATTTGGCAGATGCTTTTATCCAAAGCGACTTATATTTGAGGAACAACATACAAGCATCAACAGAGTATCAAATACAGCACGAGATCTACAACTGACAATAGATATAAGTAAGGGCAGCGATAAATAATAGGAAGAGCTAATAGCACATATGACATCAATTGGGTAAATACCTAGGGAAGGAAGTAAGAGTTAACAACAAAAAGTGCAATCAATACATAATAATAATAAGAGAATTGTATGGGGATAGAAGAAGAAGGGTACAGGAAGTACATGTTAGAGGTTAGGGGTTAAAAGGTGTTATAAGAGAAAGTGTTCCCGGAAGAGACAGGTTTTTAAGAGCGTCTTGAAGTTAGAGAGGGACGCCCCTGCTCTGATGGCATGTGGTAGCTCGTTTCACCATCGTGGTGTCACGTGAATGAGAACAGCCGGGACTAAGATTGCTTTGTGCGAAGGGATGGCAGAGCCAGGCGGCGTTCTTTGGAGGAGAAAGATGTAGGCTTGTATTATGGAGTTTAGGTAGATGGGTGCAGACCCAGTAGTCACTCTGTATGCAAGCATTAGTGACTTGAATTTGATTGATTCGGGAGGCCACAGGTAGCCTGTGGAGGTCGTTTTTGGCTGATCAAAAACAAGATGCGCTGCTGCAGTCTGAACCATTCGTAGGGGTTTCACCGCACAAACTGGACCTCCTAGGAGGGCATTGCAATAGTCGAGGTGAGAGATAACCATGGCCTGTACCAGAAGCTGAGTTACTGAGTGAGGTAGGGCCTGATTTTGTATAGAGCAAAATGGCACGACCAAGAGACAGCAGCAACAAGGAGTCAATTTGTAGTTTGGTGTTATGGTAGATAGATAGCAGGCTGGAATGACCAAGAGTTCAGTCTTAGAGAGGTTTCGTTGAAGGTGGTAAGCCTTCATACATGCAGATACAGTGAGGAAAATAAGTATTTGAACACCCTGCTATTTAGCAAGTTCTCCCACTTAGAAATCATGGAGGGGTCTGAAATTGTCATCGTAGGTGCATGTCCACTGTGAGAGACATAATCTAAAAAAAAAAAAATCCAGAAATCACAATGTATGATTTTGTAACTATTTATTTGTATAATACAGCTGCAAATAAGTATTTGAACACCTGTGAAAATCAATGTTAATATTTGGTACAGTAGCCTTTGTTTGCAATTACAGAGGTCAAACGTTTCCTGTAGTTTTTCACCAGGTTTGCACACACTGCAGGAGGGATTTTGGCCCACTCCTCCACACAGATCTTCTCTAGATCAGTCAGGTTTCTGGGCTGTCGCTGAGAAACACGGAGTTTGAGCTCCCTCCAAAGATTCTCTATTGGGTTTAGGTCTGGAGACTGACTAGGCCACGCCAGAACCTTGATATGCTTCTTACAGAGCCACTCCTTGGTTATCCTGGCTGTGTGCTTCGGGTCATTGTCATGTTGGAAGACCCGGCCTCGACCCATCTTCAATGCTCTAACTGAGGGAAGGAGGTTGTTCCCCAAAATCTCCCAATACATGGCCCCGGTCATCCTCTCCTTAATACAGTGCAGTCGCCCTGTCCCATGTGCAGAAAAACAGCCCCAAAGCATGATGCTACCACCCCCATGCTTCACAGTAGGGATGGTGTTCTTGGGATGGTACTCATCATTCTTCTTCCTCCAAACACAGTTAGTGGAATTATGACCAAAAAGTTCTATTTTGGTCTCATCTGACCACATGACTTTCTCCCATGACTCCTCTGGATCATCCACATGGTCATTGGCAAACTTAAGACGGGCCTTGACATGTGCTGGTTTAAGCAGGGAAACCTTCCGTGCCATGCATGATTTCAAACCATGACGTCTTAGTGTATTACCAACAGTAACCTTGGAAACGGTGGTCCCAGCTCTCTTCAGGTCATTGACCAGCTCCTCCCGTGTAGTTCTGGGCTGATTTCTCACCTTTCTTAGGATCATTGAGACCCCACGAGGTGAGATCTTGCATGGAGCCCCAGTCCGAGGGAGATTGACAGTCATGTTTAGCTTCTTCCATTTTCTAATGATTGCTCCAACAGTGGACCTTTTTTCACCAAGCTGCTTGGCAATTTCCCCGTAGCCCTTTCCAGCCTTGTGGAGGTGTACAATTTTGTCTCTAGTGTCTTTGGACAGCTCTTTGGTCTTGGCCATGTTAGTAGTTGGATTCTTACTGATTGTATGGGGTGGACAGGTGTCTTTATGCAGCTAACGACCTCAAACAGGTGCATCTAATTTAGGATAATAAATGGAGTGGAGGTGGACATTTTGAAGGCAGACTAACAGGTCTTTGAGAGTCAGAATTCTAGCTGATAGACAGGTGTTCAAATACTTATTTGCAGCTGTATCCTACAAATAAATAGTTAAAAAAACCTTCCATTGTGATTTCTTGATTTTTTTTTTTAGATTATGTCTCTCACAGTGGACATGCACCTATGATGACAATTTCAGACCCCTCCATGATTTCTAAGGGGCAGGGTGTTAAAATAGCAGGGTGTTCAAATACTTCCTTCCTACTTCCTCACTGTATGTCTGAGAGGCAGTCCATGATCCGCGCAGAGACTGTGGGGTCGTCTGGCAGGAAGGTTAGGTAGAGCTGCGTGTCATCTGCGTAGCAGTGGTAAGAGAAGTCATGCGAGCGAATGATCGCCCCCAGTGAGGTGGTGTAAACTGAAAAGAGAAGTGGCACTAGCACAAAGCCTTGGGGCACCCATGCGGAGAGGCAGTGTTTTTAACTGCGATTAATCGCATGCTTCTCTTGCGATTAACTCGCATAGTTATGCACAAAATTGAATAATGAATTAAAGTAGTGTACTGCGCACAACAAATGAGGTGTTTTTTTATTCCTTTTACACAGTAGCAATAAAATATTTCTTGTAAATCTCAACTTAAACATTAATATAATCAAATCAAATGCGGGTGGAAAAATACGGGACAAAGATGACAACATAGCCGAAGCCTCCCTCCGCTGCTTGTTTGGGTGGGTTATTTGCAGACTGAACAACATCCCGCTCCATGGTTTGACTGTATGTGTATTCAAAACCAGTGAGCGATATATATATATATATATATATATATATATATATATATATTAGTTTTTACAATTGACCTTAAATTTGGATCAGCTTGAAAAGCGTGAAAAATATACATATGGGCACATGCTACACTGCCGAAAACTCCGTATATAAGGATTTGGAATGACGAGTCATCAGTTTCACTCTAAGCTGAGAGTTAAATCACATACTACTGATCATCAATCAAAATGTGGAAATATCATTGGCTGTTAATGATTGAATGAAAGCGATTATAATCCAGTTTCAAGTGTTCATGAGACGTGCTGTAGACTGGACTGTCGTAATGGCTTGATAAACCTGTTATATAAGATCAAATTGATATTCACACACGCACATACGATAGTGACATCACACTGCTGAGGTGTGTTGACCTTTACTCCCATTAAACTGAAACCATATGAGTTAAAGTCACAATAGATCAATAAATATATAAGGTAGCAGCACATCACACATCTATACAGCACAAACTGTTCACAGAACTGAAACTAACAGAACAATTCAGGTGATTGAAATGAAAAGTTCCAAACGAAATGTGTGTTTAGTGCTTAGATAAAAACCCACAAAACAAACAAGCTAACTGATAATTCCTGTACTGAACTGACCTGGACACCTGTGTACAGTAGAAACACACTGTCAGCTGATGACTGGGGAGTGTATCAAGCAGCAAAGCCAGACATATCAGCACATCACCCGGATCTGTCCCATGTTATTTTGTTATCGCTGATATTGTAAAGCTGCAAAACTTGCTGACCTTCCGCTCACCTACAGACTAGTCATACAATCAACACAATTAAACTGAGGTGGTGATTTGAGTGAAAACCAACTCACTATCTTCAGACGCATCTGAAAAGCTGCATTTGTAGATTCAGGTGAACAGTAGATAGAGATTATAACAAAAACAATTAGTATTAGCAGATGTGAACATGGCAGATAAAAGCGAAAGATAAATCTACGTATAATGGCACAAAGTAGCTCCCGGATGTAAATTAAGCCATTTACTCCTCCTGAAACTTTCTTCTCTTCCGCTAACTGCCTTGTCTGCTCTACTCTCATTGTCCTGGAAAATGTCAGGTAGTGTGTGTTTGTGTGTGTACATGAGTGAGTGCGTGCTAATGTGTGTGGATAAGCGGGCACTTTTTGCCAGGCTAAAGATCTCCTAGCAACAAGGACCCCTGTTTCTATAAAAGGTAGAGGTGAGTTTATACCTGACAGATGGCCATGAACACACTTAGCGTCAAAAGGCCCTTCA